TGTTCCAAAGCCCTCAGATCCAGGATGTGGGTGGTAGCCCAGTTCAGTGTCTGCAGAAATGGAGCCTTTTACACCCCACTCTTGTGCCTGGGTGCCTGGTTTTTGACTACACCATGGGGGTCTTTCACTTCAGTGTCAATTTCGTGTGTCTCCCCACAAGCCTAGGCCACAGGCACAGGGACCTGGGCAGCAGCGATCTGCTTTTTGAGAGCGTGCTTTTGCACACAAGGTTACCACCTGGCCTTGGGCTATTTGCAGGTCTCTCCACAGAGTCCTTATCTTCCTCTAATGGCACCCTCTAATGGCCATCTTCCTCTAATGGCACTTCGCTCACCTCTGTGGTGAATTCTGCATGGTTCTCCACAGTTCCCATTTGCAGGGTGCAGTGCTTGCAATAGTTCCTTTCCACTCAGTGTCCTGCTTGATCTATAGTTTGTTCTTTTTTTTTTTTTCCCCCTCCTTTCTGCTGGTCAGAGTGTGCCGGCTTTGTGGTGGGGGAGGGTAGCAGGGTCCTGAGCTTTCTTCTCTTCTTTGTTCTCTTTTATGGCTAATTTCCTCTTTGGGCAGTTTCCCAGAGTTGCCCGCTTATCTTCTGTGTCCTGGTTCTTGCAGGGACCTGCTGCTTTTCCTCCCTATTAACTGTTTTTATGGGAGGACTAACTCGTAGTGTTTCTCCACCACCATGTTGATCCAGTTACTCCTGATTCTAGATATTTAACACATCATTATTCTTTTCTTTTTAAATTTTATTTTGTGTATTTTTACATCATTTTTCATTTTTGTACAATGTACGCATTTTCATTTTTGTGGTAGTCCTCATAAAATTCCCACCACCCTTGTTTTGATCCTACTCCCTACCCACTGCCCCCCGTAGTGTGTCTCCGGTTTTTAGTTTCCTATTGATTTTGATTTTTACTTTATCATAATTAGTCTTTTTCCTGATTCCCTTATTTGGGTTTTTTTTTTAATTACTAAACTTAGCAATACATTAGTTTTATAAGAGATTTGGCTACCATGTAAATAATGACAAAAGGAACAAATTCAAGGTGGAGTTATTAGTTATAGCTTTAGTTTTTTCTTAAGACTGGAATTCGAATTGCAGAGTTGTAAATGTAACAATCCCATATGCCAAGTTTCTTCGTAGACAAACACTAGATAGATTTGATAAAAGCAAGAAAAATCAGAAAGCCTTAATACCATATACTTGTGAGAGACTTAGTGTGACTGAGTAGCTCATCCATGTATCTTTGGATGTCATCTTGAGGTTTTTGGCTAGAACAAGGTAGAAGAAAGAAGTTTAAATTAGGGTGTTTACCTGGGGAACAAGATAAGTGGGTTGTTCTTCCTGGAGAAGAACTTCATCAGTAGAAGGTTTGGTATAGATAAAAGGCAACTCTATCTTTGATAGCATAGACCAGGTTAATTACTTCACTTTTCCCCTGAATATCCTGAGCTTTCTTTTTATTTTATTTATTTATTTTTAAAAAGATTTATTTATTTATTTATTTATACAAGCACTAGGTACATTCAGAAGTGCGGGAGGGTGAGAGAATTCACCAGAGCCAGAGCGGGTAACAGAACAGACAGAAGGACCGAAGTACACTGCTGAGGGGAGCAGCAGGCAGCAGGAGAGGTCTGTGCGCCATGTGGGACCCTCCGGTGGCTGGGGAGCAGCCGGGGATTTAACTGGCGCTGCAGAGGCTGCGGACAGCTTCACAACCCAGCGCTCAACCACTGCGCCACCGGGGAGGCCCCTGAGCTTTCTTTTTAAAGTAAGTACATTGAAACATAGAAAAAAGTATTAATGCCCAACATTATAACCTTAAGGCATGCATGCTTCAAATTAAACCATTAAATTTGAGCTAGTTCTAGTTTACCAAAATTGTAGATCATGATCAAAATTTGAGATTTTCTATAGGCACCCTTTATAGTTAATCCTCCAGAAGTAAAAGACAAGAATGGACATGGAGATCTTTTCATTTAAAATTTTAGCCATGTGTACTAATTTTAAGAACGATTTTACCTATATTTATGAGGGCACCTAAGAACTTTTATCAATTTAGTTTAAGTTTTTACTAACTTCTTTAAATAAGAAAATTTCTTTAACTTTGTATTACTAAGGCATGATCCTTTGTCTTTGCTTTGTTTCTGCTCTATCTCACTGAGACCAAGCACATTTGTAAGACAATAGAATACTTTTTATGGAACTATGCATAGGGAAGACAGGAGAAGAGATAAAGATCTTATTTTGCAGTTTTCCTGTTCCTTGGTTCTTATCAAAAATGTAAGGTTTGGAATTTAACTCACAGAAAGTGGCATTTTTATTCTAGCATTTACCAGATTAATTAATTTTAACAATGATACCGGAATTGTCAGGCCTAGTCTCCCAGCCAGGAACGGATTCCAGGCTGCAGGGCAGTGCTGAGCCCCAGCCGCTAGACCCCCACGGGTTGGTGTCTCACGAAGCCGCAGCAGGAACTTCGCAGACGCTCAGGCAAGCAAGCGAGAAGAGGCAGTTTGTTTAGAAAAAGAAAAAGTTTATTGAGGAGAAAAAGAACAGAAATAAAGTGGGACTCCCAGGCCAGGGAACCAGGCCTGGGAGGGGCAAGGAAGCCAAAGTGGAATTGTGTTTTAGGGAATATATACCTTTTTTCCCTCATTATTCTAAAGCTTTACCAGTCTCTCTGTGATTGGTTAGTTCTCGGCTGTCTTACTTAATTTGTTACTGAGTGGGGATCTTCACATTCCTTATCTAACAGGTTTTTTTTTTTCCCATTTGTTGCATCTTTAAATTTATGGCCCAGTCTTCTGGATGGGCATCCCTGCATTGAAGTTAAACAGTTGCCCTTCTAATGTGACCATAAATTAAACCACTCTCCATTTCTCCAATCTCTGCCTCCCTTTACCACCTGAAGGAAACCAGGACCAGCATTAACAATGTTGTCCTTGGTCCTGGCATGTTTGTTTTTCCTAATGGAATTGGTTATATTTCTTTGGTTGTCCTTATCTCTGAAGCCTCCCTAAATTCTTCAGAGGTCCCCTCCTGCACTGTCCCTAAAACTGCCTAATAACCCTAGCTTGCCCTGTCTCAACAAGAAACTCAACTTTTTACAGGCCCAGTAATTTAGAAGTTTTTACTCAATCAATATACATTCTGTAGGAAAACACTGGGAAATAGAATTTTGAACCTATAGAACAGACTAGAATAGTATCTCAAGGTATAGAACAGGAGAGGCCACTTCCTCCACAGCTGAAAGGCAGCAGAGACATTCCAATGATTTCAACACCTGAGCAAGGGTCCAGGCAGCTGCTTGCTTAACAGTAGGTTGGCACTGCTTTTTGGTTTTTTCAAAGATTTATTTATGCATACAAGAGGTGGGGTACAGGCTAGAGGTGCATAGGGTGAGAGGATTCACCAGAGACAGAGCAGGGAGCAGGACAGGCAGATTGACTGAAATACACTGCTGAGGGGAGCAGTGGGAGATACAGGAGAGGTCTGCTGTGCCATGTGGTCCACCTCCCTGGCCAGGGATTGAACTCGTGCTGCAGTAGCTGTGGATTGCTTCATAGTGCTGATGCTTAACACATTGCACCACCAGGGAGGCCCCAAGGGTTGGTACTGTTTTGATAAAGAACCTTTAGTCTTATGTAGTCATATTATACCCATTGTTTATAATGTTAGCAGTACCATTTGTAAGTGAACTTTGATTACCATTTGTAGAAATACCTTCTCTGAGTTCCTTAAAAACAGCAAAATCTAGTGTCAGGGTCTCAAATTGTTGGGTGAAAAAGATGCCCTGAATGAACTCCACACACAGTTTTTATGAACTCCACCCCCACTCCAGATCAAAGAGACCAAGAACTACAAATGCCATAATATCATCACCAAAGAGAGGATTGCTGGGAACTGAGGGTAGAGTTAAGCCTCCAGGTTTGACATATAACCAGACATGTGGGCCTTGGGAGTCTCTTGCTTCTTGGCTTTTCACTGGTTCTCAGTGTGCTATTGGGATTCCAGCTCAGTGGAACTGGTAGGACACATTCAGCAATTTATCTCCCTCTTTTCTTTAGTTACTAATTTGTTTGCCCTTCTTTTGTAAAATAAACCCTTTATTAACCTTTTTGTGTGTGCCTGCAGTTGAGTCTGATTATAAGCCCCTTTTAAGCATATGGGTGAGGACCCACAAATTTGAAGCATTTTTTTTTCTGAAAACATTTTTCTGTGAGTGGCTCCAAATCTGCTGGAGACAGTAGTCCCTCCTTGGGATCTCTGCTGTGCTATACTGTGGTGGTGTGCAGGAGGGGCAGGACGAGAATGAGTTAGGGCAGGAGTCCCCAGGCCATTTGTATGTAAAGGGGTCTAAGTGTTAAATGACAGAGATCCATGTGGAAAGATGAGATTGTTATACCAGGTTGGATGATTGTCTTAGCCATTGCCCTACCTTTTTATAGTCATTTAAATGCAGAGTTCTTTCATTAGGATACCAGGGCCATTTCCTTCTAATGGTTATGAGATCTTCTAACTGCTACCTTTATTACCTTGCCATTTAAAAAGAAAATCCTGTAATTGCCTCCTATGTTGTCTTCCCCCATGAGGTAGAGAATTCCCCATTTTGAAAGAAGTTTTTAAACTTGTCTTTAAGAAAAGGAGAGAGAAAGAGACAAGAGGAGCCACTTAAATCCCTAACAGGAGATCTGAGGCTGGGGTTGGGTTTTTGTATCAGTTCTTGTATGGTATTTACATGTGAAAATGGTTTCCCCAGCTGTCACACTGGCAACAGCAATTTCAAACTCATGGCACAGTATTGAAATCTCCTGCCGAGAGCAAGAAGAAATAGCCCAGACTGCTAGGAGATCACTCCTTTATGGGAAAACCCCAGACTGGCTTCTAAATGGTATATGTGCCTATTTTCTTCAGACTGAAGTCCCTTATATGAAGACCAGACCTTTTTATTTTCAGTTGGAGGTCATTAGTCCCTTATCCAGGTTGACTTCCAACTTATCCTCTCATGGGAGTCTTACGGCATCCTTGCGGTATTTAAACTTACCAACCCATGCCCATTTTTGTTGGCCTGTAAATTGCCTCTGAAATAGAAATGTTTAACAAGAGAGAGAAATATTCACCAGGTGAGCCTTTTCAGCCTACTTAAAAGAAGTATACAATATATAGCATTTCCAGCCTACTTTTTGTAAAGACAAAGCAAAGGATAAATGACAGGAAAAAAGAATACAAGAGGTGAAAAAACCTAACTTGACCTCCCGAGGCATGTGGAGCTCAATCTACCACCATGTGTTGCTTTACTACCTCAAATGAAGTTGGACATCCTTTACTTACCATTTCATCAGGCTCCCCTCTTCTGGGAGTGATTTTACTCTTTTGTCATGTTCCCCATCTTCTTGGGGCATAGAAGGTCTATCTTGTGTTCCTTCCAAGATGATCACGATAGGGTCATCATTTGTTGCTTCACTGGGCAGCAGCATTGGGAGTGGAGTGTAATGCAAGACAACTCAAATTCCACAAGAGAGAGCAAGACCTAGAGAGAACTACACCTCAGGAAGTTTAGCACCTTTTCAAGAGATCAAGACTCTCAACTAAACATTGAATGTTGAGAGTTAGTACATGTACTGGGAATTAATGAACATGTTTGCACAAAATCTCTGTTTGCTAACATTTGGAGCACAAGTGTTTTTTCTCCAAGCAAGAGAATGCTAAAACATAAAAATGATATATCCACACAGAAGTTTATGTTTCTTACTTTCTGCAGAAAAGTCACTGACAATGAAGTCTTCAAACTAAACTTTGAACTTTCAAAGTTAGTATATGCAATGGGAATACATTAGCACTTTTGCACAGAAGTGTGGAAACATTATTATGTGCTTCAACTATTCTGTGTCTTCACCTTGATTATTCTTTACTTTGACTACTCGGTGCCTCTCAGTGTGCAGAAACAGGGAAAGTTAAGGAACCTCTAAGGGCAAAAGTCCTGATATTGTTAGGGAGATGGATGTCCTGAGCAAACTCCATACAGGTCTTATAGCTCCACTCCCACTCCATCAAGACACTGAGAACTATAAATCCCATGATAAACAAAGGGAGGGTTTTAGGACCTGAGGGCAGAGTTAAGCAGCCATGTTCTTTGTTTGGATATTTAACCAGTCATATGAGCTGGAGTTGGCCTCTTGCCATGTGAGGCTTGGCTTTTTGCCAACTCAGCAGGTCATTGGAATTCCAGGTCAGTGGAAAATGTAGGACACATTTACAAATTTATCTCCCTATTATTCTACCTGAGTTATTCATTTCCTCATTTCCCCTTCTCTTGTAAATAAACCTTTTATTAACCTTTTGTGTGTGCCTGCAGTTCAGCATTAATAAGTCCCCTTTAAGAGTACAGGTGAGGACCCACAGTCAGACAACCCATTTCATATCAGGGTTGCCCTGTAACAGTATGAGGATCTAGACTTGGTGAAAACAGCATGTGCAGAAACAGGGAAAGTTTAAGATAAGAAACCTCTCAGGGCAAAAGTCCTGGTGTGATGATCTAACAGCATGTCCAGAAACAGCAATAGGTGTTATGGCTAGAGAAACATAAACACTGGGACTTTCCTTGACTTTCTCCTTATTTCTATTATTTAATTTATTTTTAAATTTTTAAAATTTTTATCTTGTTTCTTTTTTCTTTCATTTATTTTCTTTTTTGTATTTTATTTTATTTTATTATTATTTTTTAAAAGATTTATTTATTTATTCATACAAGAACCAGGGCACGGGCCAGATGCACGGGAGGGGTAGAGGATTCACCAGAGACAGAGCAGGGAGCAGAACAGGCAGATAACAGAAACACATTGCTGAGGGGAGCAGAGGGCACGACAGGAGAGGTCTGCCAGGCCATGTTGGACCCTCGCCGGCCATCCGGGATCAACCTGCACTGCAGAGGCTGCAGACAGCCTCACAATGTGGGGCTAAACCACCTGTGCCACCAGGGGTGGCCCGTATTATATATATATATTTACATCATTTTTCATTTTTGATTTCTGCTGTGTCTGTTGTGACTTCTCCTCTTTCATTTGTGATCCTATTTATTTGTGCTTTCTCCCATTCTTCCTTTGTGAGCCTGGCTGGGGTCTGTCTATTTTATTTATTTTTTCAAAGAAACAACTTTTGGATTCATTGATCTTTTTGATTGTTTTTTTAGTTTCGATTTCATTTATCTCTGCTTTGATTTTTATTATTTCCTTTCTTCTAGTTCTTTGAGATGTGTGATTAGGTTTTTTTCTTTGAGTTCTTTCTTGTGTCTCGATGGAAGCTTGTATTGCTATATATTTTCCCCTTATTGCTGCTTTTGCTGCATCCCATACATTTAGGAAATTGATGTCCTCTTTGTCATTCAACTAAAAGTATTTTTTTCAATTTCTTCTTTGATCTCCTCGTTAGTCCAGTGTGGGTTTCAATCTCCACGAGGTAGGAGAGTTCCTTGCCTTCTTTTTATGGTTTATTTGTAGTTTGATGCCTTCATGGTCAGAGAAGATGGTTGGCATGATTTCAATCTGGTGTATCTGTTGATGTTTGTCTTGTGTCCCAGTATGTGATAGATCCTGGAGAATGATCCATGTGCGCTTGAGAAAATGTGTACACAGATTTTTTGTGGTTTAGTGTTCTATAGATATCTGTTAAGCCCATGAGCTCTAGATCCTTATTTAGAGATTTAGTGTCCTTACTTATTTTTTGTCTTGTTGATCTACTATCCATTGTTGATAGTAGTGTGTTGAAGTCTCCTACTACATATGTGTTTTCTCTGATGTCTATTTTCAGAGATGATAATAGTTGTCTGATATATTTTGGTGCTCCTTCATTTGGTGAGTATATGTTAATGAGTGTTATTTCTTCTTGAAGTATTGTCCCCTTGATCATAATGTAGTGACTGTCTGGGTCTCTTTTTACTCTTTTGAGTTTGAAATCTGTTTTATCTGATATAAGTATACTGTTCCTCCCTTCTGTTTTGTCCATTTGTTTGCAGGAGTGTTTTCCATCCTTTTGCTTTCAGTCTTTTTTTATCTTTTGTAGTTAAACCTGTTTCCTGGAGACAGCAAAAGGTTGGGCTTTGTTTCTTAATCCAGCTTGCAACTCTGTGTCTTTTTATTGAAGAGTTTAGTACATTTACATTTAGGGTTAATATTGATATGTTAGCATCTGTATTTGCCATTTTATATGTCTTTTCTCTGTTTTTAAGTATAACACCCATTTATGATAAAGATCCTTGAAATTCTCGGAATACAAGGAACACACCTCAACATCATAAAGGCCATATAATGAAAGCCCATAGCCAATACCATTCTCAATGGTGATACAAAGAAAACTATAAAACACTGTTAAAATAGAAGAAGACACAAAAAAATGGAAAGACATCCCCTGCTCATGGATTGGAAGAATTACATTAGCAAAATGGCCATCCTACCAAAAGCAATTAACAGGTTCAATGCAATTCCAATAAAAATTTCAATGACAGAGCAGCACCCACCGCTGGGGCAGACCGGGCATGCAGGGGGGTGCGTCCCTGGCACTGGCATTTTGCAGCAGGGACCTTTCTTGCTGGAGACTGTGTGAACCCATCAGAAGGCTCACCGAGGAGCCAGAGGTAAGCTGGGAGGCTTGCCCATGCCGGGCGCCTTCTAGCCTGCAGTCCCAGCCCAGAGGGGAGCAGCACCCACTGCTGGGGCAGACCGGGCGTGCAAGGGAGCGCGTCCCAGGCACCGGCATTTTGCAGCAGGGACCTTTCTTGCTGGAGACTGTGTGAACCCAGCAGAAGTTCCCTAGAGGAGCCAGAGGTGAGCTGGGAAGGTCGCCCAAGATGCAGGCCAGTACCAGCAACACAGTGTCACAAGGAATAGGGCAAATTAGAAAACAGGCAGTAGGGAGTAGAAAAACCACATGCAACCCAGCAACTCCTCAGCAAAAAAGCACACCGCAAAAAGAAAACCATCTACCAGATTGCAATGACAGTAACTTGGAAGAACTTCTGAGCCTTCCAGATAGAGAATTTAAAATTGCAGTGATTAAAAAAATGACAGAAGTCATAAAGGAAAACAATGATAAGGGGAAAATAATTAATGACCAGAAGAATGAAATTGAGTCCCTAAAGAGGGAAGTAAAAGAAATGCAGGAGATCAAAGAATTAATGGAGGAACTAAAGAACTCTGGGAAAAGCAATGAAAGCAGAATAGATGAAATGGAAGAACAAATAAGTACTCTTGAAGACACAGAAATAAAAAGAACTAAAACAAAAAAGGAAGGAGAAGTACGAAGGAAAAAGACCGAAGAAAGACTTTGGGAAATATCGGACTCCATGAGGAAAGGAAATATAAGAGTTATAGGAATACCAGAAGGAGAGGAGAGAGATGTAGGAACAGAGAAAATATTCAAGGATAAAATTGAAGAGAACTTCCCAAACGCGAAGAAGGAGCTGAAAATTGATATACAAGAAGCAAGAAGAACACCAAACTTCCATCACGAAAGGAAAAATACAGCAAGACACATAATAGTAAAGCTCCCAAGAATCCAAGACAAGGAAAAAATAATGAAACTGACAAGAGGGAAGAAACAGATAACGTTCAAAGGGAAACCAATCAGACTGACATCTCTTCAGACTTCTCTGAAGAAACACTACGGGCAAGGAGAGAGTGGAGGGACATAGTCAACAGACTCCAAGAAAACAGATGCCAACCAAGAATACTCTATCCCACAAAGCTCTCCTTCCTCTATGAAGAAAGAATAAGGACCTTCCCAGACAAACAGAAACTCTGGAATTTTATTATGACTAAACCACCACTCCAAAAAATACTACAAGGAGTCCTAAAGCCAGAACATCAGAGGGACGAATAACAACAAAAGAAGGCCAAAGAAAGTTATTAAAAGAATAAATAAATAAAATCAAAGGAAAGACAAACACAATGGCAAATACAGATGCTAACATATCAATACTAACTCTAAATGTAAATGGACTAAACTCTTCAATAAAAACACACAGAGTTGCAGGCTGGATTAAGAAACAAAACCCAACCTTTTGCTGTCTACAGGAAACACATTTAGCAGCAAAAGATAAAAATAGACTCAAAGTTAAAGGATGGAAAACAATTCTACAAGCAAATGGACCAAAAAAGAAGGCAGGAACAGCTATACTCATATCAGATAAAACAGATTTCAAACTTAAAAAGATAAAAAGAGACCCCAGTGGTCATTACATTATGATCAAGGGGACAATACTTCAAGAAGAAATAACACTCATTAACATATATTCACCAAACGAAGGAGCACCAAAATATATCAGACAACTATTGGCATCTCTGAAAACAGACATCAGAGAAAACACATACGTAGTGGGAGACTTCGACACACCACTATCAACAATGGATAGATCAACAAGACAAAAAATAAGTAAAGACACTAATGCTCTAAATAAGGATCTAGAGTGCTTGGGTTTAACAGACATATATAGAACACTAAACCCAAAAAAATCTGAGTATACATTTTTCTCAAGCACACACGGTCA